TATGAGCTCAATTTGGTAAGAAGGTCTAACGTGATGCAGTTCGGAAACGTTTACCTCTTGGTGAAAACGGCGAGTACGGGTGTGTTGCTGACAATGCAACACTCGTCATCAACTAGAATCTGTTCAAACCAAAGATCAGCGGATCCTTGTAGGACTCAAATGCGAAACTCGGTGCCTTAGGCCACTGGTCTACTCCTGCAAAGAACGCGCACTGAGCACAAATCCATTAAATCATGGCGTGTCAGGTTATTGAGGGGCCAAAGCTCAAAGGGACGAAAGCTCAAAATGACGAAGGTCGACGACGTTTGTGAAACTTGTGGGCATGTGAATGACACCAATAAGTATAGAGTCCTACACATCCACCATAGCAATGAACACAGAGAACAGTGGTGATTGTTTGGAGCATAATAACATGGTTCTATTAGTATTGATTCTTTATGGTATACTTTAGAGTACGTTTCTTCGAAAATAAATCATATTTTCTTGGCTTCATACGCAACTCCTCTTTTTTCTTTGACGCATCATAAACATTCATTTGGAAATGTTATAGGTGACCTGGTATACTAGGTGTAAACGTGGTACAACGCATTTGGTGGTATGCAGAGAAACCGACTCATCTGTTTCACATTTAGATCTGTGCAAAAGATTCAGAGAGACAACACACTCTCCACAAGACAGAATGGCAAAGGGATGACTTCAACTTTCCAACAGTCAATTTTCCCTCGAGCAGTCGAGGTGTCTACAGTTCACAGCGTATGAGGCACAATCGAGGATGTTCTTTGTACGCAGTCCTTAAGGAGCGTCACACGACTCTTGCTCAAACGTTGTGTGATCAATGATACAACATGCAATGCCTCGGCAAAGCTTTCAAAAGGTTCTACGGTAGACATGTGGAGGATATTCCAAATTTTGCATTGGTGACAAACATGATGTCCGATGCAATTCCCTTTTTTGCTTGTACCAGTTCACGTGTTGTCTTCAGATGAACAATTGACTTGTCTTTACATGTGTTTGTGACGGGTGCCACCGGTGGGGCAAGACACGTTCACCTTTTCGCGAACATTTGGCATAATCAGTTTATAGTGATTTATATAGACATTTTAATGATAAAGTCGGCATCGTACAACGGACTCATATTTCTAATAATTATGGAAATGTATTTGTCGCTTTTATTTATTCAACTTGACTAACACAGTAGCACGGCCACCAAGTATGTTAATGTGAGAAAACCCCGTCATTTCCCAAACAGCTGTGTCGCGTTCGGTGTATCAGTTGTCCCGAATTAGGAAAAAACCTGCTTGGTATGACAACATTTTATGTAGGATTATTACAGCCGACGCAATAGCATATCAGATGAGGATGGCATGTTGCATTTTGACTCATGCATTCTTGTACAGTGCATTACACACGTGCGTATTAGCCAGCATGTGTGCCTGCAAGCGTGCACATAACACCGGATCTATCACCTATTGTAAAACATTTTGGCTCATCTTCTTGGTATGCCTGTTCTATTTGGCAAACAAAAATACACAAGCTTGTGAGTTCTCCACTAGTTCAAAGAGTCCTGCTATTAAAAACATTGCACATCTTCAACGCCAGCGAAATTGCTGTGGTTATACGTGTTTATTAAGAACACTGATATCTAACGTATCATACTAGTACAGTGGAACCCCGCTTGTCTGGATCCCACATATCCGGAAACCTCGTTCTGGGCAACTTTTTATGAAAAACGAAAAAGGGTTGTGATTTTCTGAGCCGCGACATATCTAAATGGCTTGAATAAATGCGTGCGCTATTAATTACAATAACTTCAGTTCACGGGACACACATATCTATGAAGAAAATATGTCTTTCAATCGTCTTGTTTTTAAAAAACAAACGCCTTCTGATTGTGACCCGGGCCACACGCTTGGAAAACCCCCCCAGAGACGTTGATTATATATTTGGAATAACCTAATACCTGAATTGATATGAATTATGGCATTTAATTATGTTCCTTTTAATGGTTGTTATATTGCAATGAACTGGGTTGAAAAGGCACATAATGCCTTTGGAACTGAATACCTTGACAATAGTATTGCTGTTATACGTTAAGGCATATATACACCGTCTAAACTACGTCATACTATTGTTGAGACCGTTACTGAAAGCTTGAAAGCTACCAATTGTGCACCATTTCAGTTTGAAAATGTTGTGCGGCGTCAGGCAACAAACACTAAGTCTTACTCTCACTTGTTTAAAGTTAATGCAGGTGATATAAGAGGTGGAAGCTTACTGGTCAACAGGGGGGACACAGAAGAGACATAACTCGTAATAGCCACTGGTTGGGCTACGATGGATCTAAGAAATTCCAGCCAGTCCCTTACCTCGGGAAGATGGAATAAACATGCTGGATAAACTGTATCAGCCCCTGATAATAAACGGAAAACTGCAATCCTTGATGTTGATGTTCTAGTGTTTATTTTGGCCATATATTCAAAATTACATTAGACAGACAACACTATTGAAAAAACAATATCGTTTCAATCAAAATATAACACTTGTTATTTCTGAACATTGATGTAATTTTATGAAGGGACATATTAATCATTTGGCACTGATGAACTTAACGTCCAAGTAGAGGGTATTTGTGGTTTGTACCCCATCCTGTACCTTGGCTAAAATGCGTGTAAATCATGGCCCTTGTATGCAGTAAATCAGCAGGTTCACCGAAATGGATGGCTCTATCTGCGTCACGATTTGTATTATCTGTTGACCTCAATCGCATTGCGTGACGCCGTTTACTGTAAACTTCGCAGAAGAATGTGATGGATGTGTGCCCGCGACTCAGCACGGAACATGTTAGAAACAGTGTAAGGAAACCCAGAAATAACCACCCAAGTATGTTTCTGCGCTACGATCGGTAGAGATTTGGTTCCGGGTCAAACTGTGTTTTCAAAGAAACCTCATCTCCCAGAAACGAGAAATATATGTCAAACACAAATATATGTCATACACTAGCGGTATCCCTATAACATACGAAGTGTGTGAAATTCTCCCCGACACAAACACTCACTCAAGAGATATAGTTGGTGTACATGTTTCTAATGCGGACAAATAGGTTTACGGAATAACAGGGTCCGAACTAATGTGTTTCTGGAATAAGAAGGTCCGGAAGGCGGACTAATGCTTTTCCGGAATAACAGGGACCCGGACTTATGGGTTTCTGGTATAACAAGGTCCGAAATAATGGGTTTACGGAATAACAATGTCCGGACTAATTGGTTTACGGAATAACAAGGTCCGGACTAATGGGTTTACGGAATAACAATGTCCGGACTAATGGGTTTACGGAATAACAAGGTCCGGACTAATGGGTTTACGGAATAACAAGGTCCGGACTAATGGGTTTACGGAATAACAAGGTCCGGACTAATGGGTTTACGGAATAACAAGGTCCGGACTAATGGGTTTACGGAATAACAAGGTCCGGACTAATTGGTTTACGGAATAACAATGTCCGGACTAATGGGTTAACGGAATAACAATGTCCGGACTAATGGGTTTACGGAATAACAAGGTCCGGACCTATGGGTATACGGAATAACAATGTCCGGACTAATGGGTTTACGGAATAACAAGGTCCGGACTAATTGGTTTACGGAATAACAATGTCCGGACTAATGGGTTAACGGAATAACAAGGTCCGGACTAATGGGTTTACGGAATAACAAGGTCCGGACCTATGGGTATACGGAATAACAATGTCCGGACTAATGGGTTTACGGAATAACAAGGTCCGGACTAATGGGTATACGGAATAACAATGTCCGGACTAATGGGTTTACGGAATAACAAGGTCCGGACTAATGGGTTTACGGAATAACAAGGTCCGGACTAATGGGTTTACGGAATAACAAGGTCCGGACTAATTGGTTCACGGAATAACAAGGTCCGGACTAATGGGTTTACGGAATAACAATGTCCGGACTAATGGGTTTACGGAATAACAAGGTCCGGACTAATTGGTTTACGGAATACCGGGGTCAGGACTGATGGTTTTTTTGGAATAACAGGGTCCGGAATAATGTTTTTTTCCGGAATAACATGGTCTGGAGTAATGGAGTTTTACTGGGTTCTGGATATGGTATAATGCATTATATACATTTATGTACTACTACCTATGACAGTATGTCTCCTAACGTGCGACTAATCCGTAGATAGTGCTCAGTCACTGTTACCGTGATGTTATTACAAGTTGATTGCTATTACATGCAGCGTATTACCAGTGTTAAATCCATCAAGAAAATCTCGCTGTTTAGTCTGGCGAATACGTGCAAATTCTGAACCCGTTCGCATGGAAATGTTTAAGCATCTTAAACTAAATGTATACAAAGCAGACGGTTCCACATTACAACGATATAAAAAGTCTTAGTGGATAAATCAGACTGTGTTCTTGTGCATAGCAAGCGTACAGGCTCGTAAAGTTATTTTCAAGGCTTGGCATTAAGTACGGACTAACTGAATATATTAGGTCAACGGCAGAGAATGATCTGCTGAAACAGACACCATTGGGCGTAAAAGGCAACATACTGATAATTTATTTGTTTGTTGTTTAACGCCGCACTCAGTAACATTCCAGCTATATGACAGCAGTCTGTAAATAATCGAGTCTGGTCCAGACAATCCAGTGATCAATATCATGAGCAGTGATCCACGCAATTGGGATCGATGATATGCATCAACCAAGTCAGCAAGCCTGACCACCCGATCCTGTTAGTCGCCTCTTACGTCAAGAATAGTTGCCTTTTACGGCAAGCATGGGTTGCTGAAGACCAATTCTTCCCCGGATCTTCGAGGGTCTTGTCGAAGTGAAGATCAGGTATGCTGATGATGGTTACCTCTTTGGTGAAACCAACAAGCGCGGTATGGTGCTGATAGACCACTGATCGGGATCATGTCATGTATAAAGATCGCCCTAGCGACATTTCAGGGCACGAAATAAGAAGTTGTGTACTTACCGCGCCATAAGTCTTGGGGCTGGTGGTCAGACCGCTGCCGTACCCTCTGTCATAGGACGGCTGGAAGCAGAGGACAAACACTTGACACGATGTTTAGCGGGAATTACATGTGCGTTACCTCCAGGTGTACTACGTGTGTATATCTCGTACATCCCGGTTCCAGTAGGGATAGGGACGGCAATAAAACAATGGGAACTGTTTAGTGACGACCATAAGCCTTAAGAACATGCTACTATGACACTGTAAGCTTCTGGACGTTATTAGTAATGGTAATAGTGTAATAATTGTTTATATAAGATAACTAGGCGATAAATCACAAAGCACAATGACGAAAGAAGCGTGGTTTATTTCACGATAAAACATTGTCCTTGTTAATCTTACAATAAAACGCTGCAGGGAGAATAAACCATGAGGGGCTCATTTTATTTCTTAAATAAACACTCTTTTTTTTGCTTTGTGTAACATGCTGCACGACATAATTACATGTATGTAGCATCTAACATCCAGGTACATTAAGATACATCTTTGTGGATTCAGCGGAAAACACATTTCTATTTTAGAGTCTTTATCGATACCTTTGACATCGTTGAACGTAATATGGCCATATATATGCATGGAACTTTCTCGCATTTTATTGATGCGCAATAATACTGAACTCTGCCTTTCTGTCAGCAACTACCATTCTGTGCACTGTTCGCTCATTCGCAATGAAAGGTCTATAAAACTTGTTATTTTTTTAAAAACCCACACATTTCTGGGGCAAATTTCGGAAATGTTGAGCGCAGTTACTCAAGGTAAATGTACAGAACATGCGTGGCTATATATGTGTTTGTTTGTTGTTCAACGCCGCACTCAGCAATATTTCGGCTATATGGCGGCGGTCTGTAAATAATCAAGTCTGGACCAGACAATCCAGTGATTGACATCATTAGCATTGATCCATGAAAGTGGGATACAATGACATGCGTCAACCAAGTCAGCTACCCTGACCGTTACTCGCCTTTTACGACAAGCATTGCTTAGTGAAGACCTATTCTACCCCGGATCTTCACCTGTCAGCTATATATATGACAATGGAATGACTATTTGAACTGTCAAACAACTGAATGAAATACATGTGGTGTCCTGCGCTCTGCTTTTCTCTTCAGGTTAAAGTATCGATGTTTGTTGTGGGTTCCAACAGTTCACAATACCGTATTGTTTGACTGCGTGTTTCATTATCGTCAAACTAATCTGGATGACATGGGCAGAAAGGGAACGTGATATGAAGATTCGAACCAGGCTGTGTGCGTTGCAAGCAAACGCCACAACCACTGTGTCAGTCCCCGTGGTGCATCAAAGACGTATATACATCTATTTACGTCTTTGGCTGCATATAAGGTCATAGTAAATTGTGCAGCTAATCTACATGAGCAGGGACGCCTTATATAAAAACAATTACAGACAATTTACAGACAGAGATTCAGATGAACAAATAACGAAATTGCTGTAGCCTTATGAAAAACAAGGATCGATCCGGTCGCCTTGGTGACAAGTCAGGACCTTAGCAACTGAGTCACTGTGGAAAACAAACATCCTCATGCTGTAGTGAACAGAATGTGTTATGAACACATCGCACGAACACACCATTCTGTCTGAAAGAAAGGCGATAACGATCATACATGCACAATGTTAATATGCATAAGCAGCTTAATACGTGTATTCCGGAAACGTTTAAAACTCATTAATTTCCACAAACTTACCAGTCGAAAACCTCCATGATCCAATCATCACAAAAGACCTGGTTAGTTTTGTAATACAACTTGATTCAATCTCTTCTCAATAGGTCGAAAACTGAAACCCCTATGAGCGCTTTCACTCTTCTGGTGCTGGCGAGTCTTGCAGTCGCAATTAACAGCACAGGACTGAACAAGGGGATGTACGTACGAGGTGTAATTTGTTTCTTCCCAAAATATATATTGAGAACCCCTTTTTTACTTGAGTGATGGTAATTTCAGGATGTTAGGTGAACGGCGAGAAACTTCTTGGGACGTTTCCAGATATACCCAAAAAGTGGCATTACTTTGGCGCGTCGGACCAGAGACGTTAAAGATAATATCAGATGGCTGTTCAAACGTGTTATTGTTTACAACATAATTCATAGAGTTGATTAGAAACCCAATATAACGCTCCTGTCGCCATTGAACTCATTTCGTAGTGCGCTAAGTAATTTAAAGTAAAAGGACTTGAATCTTCTGTGAGCACAAAGACTAGTAGATACTTCGTAGATATTACCTTAGTAACCATAAAATGTATTTAAGTGTGTTTCTTTTCGTCAAGAGACTTTTTTCATCAGAGTGAGTGAGTGAGTATGGTTTTACGCCGCTTTTAGCAATATTCCAGCAATATCACGGCGGGGGACACCAGAAATGGGCTTCACACATTGTACCCATGTCGGGAATCGAACCCGGGTCTTCGGCGTGACGAGCGAACGCTTAAACCACTAGGCTACCCGACCGCCCCTTTTTTCATCAGAGATTTTCCTGGGAATATGGTTTCTTTTAGGTTATAAACGGTTATATATCGTACAATTGCGAAATCATAGGAAAATTAAATATAATTCAAATCATATATAATTCAGATTTTCTGCGATTTCTGCGTGTTGAAACTTTGATTGGCTAAAGTTGTCTAAGGTTGTGAATCCTACAGTATATGTCATAGGCTATTGAATTTAAGTTTACACTTCCAATATAAAACCTAAGTACATACTGTCAATATTCAATTATGTATTCATTTTGTTAGTATTTTTTAAAGCTACAAGGGTTTGTGGACAAGTAAATGGCACGAAATTATACCTTTCCCACGAGAGAAGAGCGACAGTGTATACCTACATGACAATGACCACGAAAGGTAACAGTGTACCACGAGTTTAACCTACATAGGTATTTTAGTATACGTATGTTTCTGTTAAGAATCATTGTCTTTATAAAGATAAATGTTCAGATGTTGTGACTATAAGCGTTAGCTGGAGCTCGTCACGCCGTAGGCCCGGGTTCAATTCCCCACATAGGTACAATGTGTGAAGGCAATTTCTTCCCCAGTCGTGATATTGCTGTAGTATTGCTAAAACCACACTCACTCACTACTCACTCACTCTTAAGACTTGAACTATGCGAGCGTGTGTGTCGAGCGAATACTTTAACCACTGGACGACCCCACCATCCCTTTAAACTGTTAGAAGACAGAAGGTGGCCTCCTGTTGAAGATGATTAAAGTTCCAGTTCCAGACATTTATGTATATAATATTATTATTATTTATTGAATCACTGTACCATCAGAACTGTTATCTATTTGGAACTAAAAGCCAATAACGTTTTATCAACGTGTTACTACACGAAAGAGGAACAAGAATAGGGCTCCGGTACTTTAACATGCTAATAGACGAAAGTCATTGCGCTAAAACCGCTTTGTTGATCTGGTCCCTGACATTTAGTCCTGCACCGCGACCGTGGAATATATTTATTTTAAGAAAAAAAAATAATCTAGAAATGCATACAAAAGCAAGTCTAACCAGCTCAAGCTAGCTCTATTCCACAGCATAGGGATTTTTTATATATTTTTAGAGTCAAGAGTGAGTGAGTGAGTACGGTTTTACGCCGCTTTTAGCAATCTTCCAGCAATATCACGGCGGGGGACACCAGAAATGGGCTTTACACATTGTACCCATGTCGGGAATCGAACCCGGGTCTTCGGCCTGACGAGCGAACGCTTTAACCACTAGGCTACCCGACCGCCCCTTTTAGAGTCAAGAAGGATATTGTGTAATATAAGATTTCAGAGACTAAATGTTAGTCTACCTGACATTATACTCTCCATATAAAGACGAACAGGATCTGCCCTATCTCTGTCGTTATCCACATGTTGTCCAACCAGCCCTGACAAACAGTTTGCTATTTATACAGAATACAATTCCTCAGCACTCTCAGATCCTCTGTGTATCCACAGTGAAATGGTTGTATGTGTGGATAGGAGCTGTTTAGTAAAATACAAAACTTTTGTAAATACAAAACGGTATTTATTTAAACTCTACTACACGTTGTTCCAGAAATACCAATTTAATAAAAAGTTTATTTAGATAGGCGTCAGTACAGTTAGATGTCTCATTACGACGCTCTGTAGGAATTCACAACACATTCTAACACGTTATACATCAAAGATGCACTGGTTATCCTAACTGCATGCGGTAAAGCATCTGTGGATCTGTATCATCGCAGCGTGGCCCTACGTCAGGTGTTCTTACCATCTCCGGTCAGTGGTGATTCATTGAGAGACAGCGCCCAGTCTCAAGCAATGTTCCAACCACCGCATTCCCTGTATGGCGCGCTGCAGTAATATCTCATAGCATTGTTTACATCGCATCTGCAAAGTGCATGTCTCAACAACAAGTCCGTTGTGGAGTCACTATTCTTTATTTAACCTTCAGATTTTAAGTTTTTGTCTAGAACGTGTAAATTTCGTTGGTTTTCGTTTGCTTTGATTTGGCCTACAGAATCATGCCAGCACATGACTTTATGCACCCTAATACGTGGCCATGGCGTGTCTCAGGTCTGTTTATTTGCTGATACATGCCTATATTATTGGAACCACCGGACTATGGATTACGTACATAAATATGCAATAAAGAATTCAAATGAGGAATATGTGTAGGAAATGCCAGATTTAAATCCCCGATATCATGTCGTGTACCGATGGAAACTAGTCAGGGAAGGACTGTACGAAGGTATACAATTGTAACTTAAAAATAATTATATACTGAACAAAATTAAAAACTTCACAATCCTAAAATTTTAACATTTTGACCAGTTATCATTGTTGGCCCTTATTGTGTATTTAAACAGTAATGGCCACGTATTGTCTTCAGATAACACCCGTTTTTGTGCAGGTGAATCGATCAAAATCATGTGCACAGCACTATAGTGGCAAAAGTGGTTTTTCACGTGCAACTGGTCACGTGGCCATAATACCGCACGTGTTTTCAGCCATACTTGTTAGCAGTCATTAACAAAAAAAGAAAAACACAA